TTAACTTTTTCAACTTAACTTTTGAAAATGTTCCGGAAAGACTGACAATTTTATATATACCTTAAATTAAAGCTAATGTAATATACTTTAATTTGAAAAAAAAAAATTTGACCTCTGGACTTGTCTTCATGGTGAAAATGACTACCGTATGCAAAAATATGCTATTTTTGTGAAAAAATTCTTGATATTATATTTTACATTTTTTAACATTATGTTGCTATAACTTTTTAAAAAATGCATGAATCAACTTTATTCTTTAATGATAAATACTTTATATATACTTCTTTCATTCGACATACTTTTTTTTAAAATCGGACCATTTCCCTTTATACAGGGGGGGTGCAAACCTTTTAAAATGCGTATAGAAAGTAGAACTTTTTCAACTTAACTTTTGAAAATGTTCCGGAAAGACTGACACTTTTATATATATCTTAAATTAAAGCTTATGTAATATACTTTAATTTGAAAAAAAAAAATTTGACCTCTGGACTTGTCTTCGTGGTGAAAACGGACATCAAAGTTAAAGAAAAACGTACGATTTCCGTGAAAAAAATCTCGATTTTATATGTTATATTATTTAATTTATATTTTATATAACTTTTGGAAAAATGTATGGATCTATATTATTATTTTTTTATAATAAATATTGATATACCCCTTTCATCTGGCACGCTTTTTTTGTAAATCGGATCATACCCCTTTAACAAGGGGGGTCAAAACTTTAAACATGCGTATTGTTACTACGATATTTTCAATTTAATTTTTGAAAGTATTCCGGAAATACTGACACTTTTAAATATATCTTAAATTAAAGCTTATGTAATATACTTTAATGTGAAAAAAAAAAATTTGACCTCTGGATTTGTCTTCATGGTAAAAATGACTACCGTATGCAAAAATATGCTATTTTTGTGTTAAAATTCTGGGTTTTGTATTTTATTTTATTTTAAAATACCTGACAAGGGGAGTACAGATTTTCATAAATATTATATAAATTAAAATTGATATAGTATAGATAGTTAAACTTATTTAAATATGTTTGTTTCTTTTAAGTCGAGAAAAATAACTTTGAAATTTGAACTAGCTTAAATAGCCAATTTTTCAACCGCCGGAAGCAACGTACGGTTGCCGAGTTGGTAAAATTTATGTTTTACACGCTTGGGGTACGAGGTTCCAACCCGCATATGGCAATGAATTTTTTGCATTTTTTCTTAATTCTTTTTAAGTTAGTATAAATTTTAACTCGTTTGATTTTTATCACATTTAGATTCAATAACTTCAATAAAGATCAAGGATCCCATCACTTTAGTCGCCCCTTGCAAGAAGAAATTTCTTATTCGTATTAAAATTATTTTACTATATTTTAAGTTTTCGCTTCGATGCAAAGCCGAGAAGATATTTTTTTGTGACTATCATTTATTTTCTCTGCTCTAACTTGACCTACTTTTTTCAACAATACGTCAAATTACTACAATTCGTATCTAGTTGAAGATATTACTCTCAAAAATTGAAAAAAAAATTCTAATTTATCAATTAAACAGTTAGTTATTACATCGTCTCCATAAAGACAATTAAAATCATTAATTTCTAATGTTTTCAAAATATTTATTAACGAATGAAGTTTGATATGATAGGTTTCAACTACAAAATTAAATCATTTTACTTTGTAATTTAATAATTTTTTTACTCTATTTGTGTGTGCTACTACTAGACTATAATATTACAATTTTTTTTTGTAACATGTTGCTATATAAATCATTTCTAAAAAAAATGATTGTTTTTTCTCCTGAATTAACAATTGATTTTTACAAATATAATCAAATTTTATAATACACTCAATTGAGTAAATCTTTTTAACAACTTTGTTTTGATTGGTACATTTAGTTAAAGTAAATCATTAAAATTAATTAAGTTCTCAATATTTCAATTATAGAATCTTTTCAACAAACAACAAAAGTTCCTAGGAAATTATTACTATTACTTCTATTTAAGTTATCTATTACCATAAAAATGCAAAAAAATATTGAGCTTTTCTGATAAATTTACAATAAATAGTAATTATAAAACTTTCTGACTGCATATTGATCTTAACGATACAATTTTTTTAATTGTCATAAAATTTTCTATTTAATTATGTCAATGTCAAACTTACCAATTGAGCTAAAAGTTATGGTAAAATAAATTTTTTTTTTTTATTATAAACATTTACAACAATCAACTTTAAACGATTAACAAAATAGGTTAAATATGTCATTTTCCTTATTTTTAACTTATTAATAATCAAATTAATATTAAATATTATATCAAATCAGTATTAATTTAAAACAATTTTTTTTGTTCTTAATTATTTTTTTTTATATGTAAAAACTATTTTTTAATAATATTAAAACTTAGAAGTTATAGAAAAAGTCTAATTGCACATTTTAAAACATCGCGAAAAGTTGATTTAGAATAGTATATTTTTGTTTCTGATGGAAGTTCCTTGTAGTCCAGTGTATAAAACTTATAACTTTGTTAATTGTTATAACTTTATCAAAAATGACCAAATCAGTATATTTTTTTTTATTTAGATGCATGTCTTTATCTATCATTTGGTTTTTTTTATAAATCTAACCCTTTACCTGCCCACAAGAGGGATTCAAAATATTAACTTTTTTTTTTTTAGTTAAAGTAAATCATTAAAATTAATTCAGTTCTGGATATTTCAATAGTAGAATCTTTTTAAATATCAAAAATTACTTAGAAATGATTACTATGATTTCTATTTAAGTGTTCTATTACGATAAAAATGCAAAAAATAATGAGTTTTTCTGATAAATTTACAATAAATAATAATTATAAAACTTTCTGACTGCATATTAATCTTAAAAATAACATTGTTTTAATTCTCATAAAATTTTCTATTTAATGATTCATTCTAGTCAACGAAGGAGTAATTTTGCAGAATAGCAGAAAAAATTCCCAACAAACTTTTTTTTTTTTTGTTTTAATTAGGCAATTGGTGGATTATTCCAAAAGCAACATCAACTCTTATTTCTTTAATTATATCATGATTAGTAGTTCTTTGATTTTAAAATATAATATATGAATATATACTAATTATAATTATTAAATTTAGTATGAAATTGATATTTAATATTGTAATTTAAACGGAGAAATTATAAAAATAATAAAGAAGTTATATTTTGCTTTACTTTTACGTGTATAAAAATTTAAAGGGCTTGATACAATAATTTTCAATAAAAACTGTTTGTTACTATAAAAAAATGCACTGGACTACAAGGAACTTTCATCAGAAGCAAAAATATACTTTTCTAAATCAAATTTTCGCGTTGTTTTCAAATCTGCAAGTAGACTATTTCTATCACTTCTAATTTTTTATATTATTACTAATTATATATATAAAATAATAATTAAAAGAAAAAAAAATTTGTTTTCAAATTATTACTGATTTGATTTTTAATATGTTAAAAATAATCAGTCCAAATTTTCAATTTTAACCTATTTTTTTGGTTCTTTAAAGTTGATGAAAAATTTTTGATAAAGATTTATGAAAGTTTATAGTAAAATAAATTGAATATATTACCATAACTTTTAGCTCAATTACAAGTTTAAAATTGACATCTAGGCCTGTCAACAAAGGAAAAATTGCGGAAAAAATTTTGTTTTTTTAAAAGTTGAATTAAAATATGTATAATGACATACTAATAGTCCTCAAGATTGGAATTGAGCTTTTTTTTTAAATCCTCGCAAAAGTTCAAAAATATGAGCTTTCTTAATTTTCTCAAAAAAAAATATTTAACTTACAAAAAAAAGTTTCGCACAAAAGTTGTTTAAAAGACAATTATAAATAAAAATATAATCTTATATTTTTTCATTTAAACAAATATTTTTCGAGTTACATTACATTTAATATGAGTAATAAAATTTATATTCCATTTTTTTCATTTTACGGTTACTTTTTATCATGTTATACTTACATTAGACACAATGTTATAAATGCATATGTGTGTATGTGTGAGTTTATTTATTTATTGTATCATTAAAGTGTAGTGTATATTGAGATACAACCGATAGAGTAGGTAATTGATTTGACGCTATATTATTTAAACCCAACTAAACGCTAAATTGTACATTCCGAAATAACAATCATATTATGTCAATTGCCACCGGAATATCTGGTAATATTTTTCTTTTTCTTTGCCTTAATCCCAACTACTTGGGGTCGGCCACCCTTATCCTAAGCTTCCACTTGACACGATCTCCCACATCTTCTACGCTCACATCAGCTGTCCTCAAATCGCATTCAATAGCATCCCTCCATCTCTTTTTTGGTCTTCCTCTATCTCTTCTTCCTTCAACATTCATTTCTATAACTGTTCTTACAGCTTTCGATTCTTCTTTCCTCATACCATGACTAAACAATCTAAGTCTATTTTCTGTCATCTTATCCACGATTGACGCAACACCTATACTTCCTCTTATATGCTCGTTCCTTATCCTATCTTCTCTAGTCACTCCACTCATCCAACTAAGCATTCTCATCTCTGCTACACTTATTCTCTGCTCTACTTTCTTATCAACCGCCCAACACTATGAACCATACATCATAGCTGGCCTCACAATTTCATACTAAATTTAAAAACTATAATTAGTATTTATTCATATATTATATTTTAAAATCAAAGAACTACTAATCAGGATATAATTAAAGAAATAAGAGTTCATGTTGCTTTTAAAATATTTCACCAATTTCTCTAAAGGAAACACTATCTACAGATTTGCATCGAAGCGTTTCTTATGATAGTGATTTTAATCACTGTCAGATATCATCTATACTTATCTCATCTATGCCACGTCTATACTGTGCCTCGACCCCACTGTGCTTCCGTTTTTTTTTTTATTTAACTATGTATTATTTTTTATGCCATGAAATTTCTTAGCATTCTAATTTATTATCGAGTCCACGTGCATTTCATTACTATTGATACTATTATTTGATTGATACTTCAGTTGTTAATTCATTAAACCATACATAGTATTCAAATGGTCTAAGTATAATTTTTAAATTTTAGCTGTCACATTTTAGTTTTATTTTTATGTAAATTTAATAATAGGAAGATATAGAGAAGTTTTAATAAATAATAGTTGAAATAAATTGATAAAAAAGAAAAATGCGTATTGATACGTGTTATTTTTGTTCATCAAAAATTTATCCAGGACACGGTATGCATTTTGTAAGAAACGATTGTAAGGTATGTCAGATTATTGTATTTAATAAAATTACATTTTTCAATCACGTATTTGGTTTAAGGTATTCAAATTTTGTCGATCAAAATGCCATAGAGCATTCCAAAAGAAAAAGAATCCAAGACGTGTAAGATGGACAAAAGCTTATCGTAAAGCTGTTGGAAAAGAATTAGCAGTAGATCCTTCTTTTGAAATTGAAAAACGTCGCAATATTCCTTTGAAGTATGACAGAGAATTTTGGCAAATGTCGAGTAAGTTTTTGTTAGCCTAAATGAATAAAAAATATTAAATTTTGATGTATTTTATCTTTTATTTTATGATAATAGTGGAAGCTATAAAAAAAGTCACAGAAATTCAACAAAAGCGTCAATCAACTTATGTTATGCAAAGGTTAAGGAAAGGACGTGAAGTTGAACAACATAGAGACATTAGAGAAGTTCAAAGAGACATGGCATTGATACGGTCTCCTGCTGCAGGTATTTTATCTTCTTCAATTAAATTTGTAGAAAGAATTTTCATACATTGTTGAAAGAAATCATGAATATTAAGAGATAAATTTGATAATCGTTTGTAAAAATCTTTATAGAACTACATTGAAATAAGGTTTAGATGCGATTTAGGTATAATTGATATCTTGAGAAAAATATCTAAGTTTGAATAAGTATATTAAATTTTTTACTATTGCTAAATTTTTCCAAATTGGATTATATTTATCAAAAATGGTATGAGTATCTTTGCCTTGTAAATCAGTTTTAAAATTGAACTAGTATATTGAAACAGTGTTTTGAATTTATTTAAGAATGATAAAAATTCTTTATTATGAACGTTCATGGTAATGTTTAATTTTGAATAAATAATATAATTAAAAAGTTTTTTGTTGGATCTCAAAAATTAGACTTCATAGCATCATTAATATGTATAAATATACAATTCTTAAAGTATTTTTCAATATTTTTTTTTTATTAATATGTTTCTCTGATCGTATTCAGACTATTGTCAAGATAATATAAAAACAGATTATTGAATAAAATTTAGTCTTATTTTTCAACCAAATATTTTCTAATATGATATAATTGTTATAATTCATTAAGTAAATGATAATTTTTTGTTATGAAGGTCTTAAGCAACGTTTGGTAACTGAAGAAAAACTACTTGAAGAAGAACATGAAAATGATGTGGAGATGGTAACTGCTGAAGAAAGTGATAATATTGATCATAGCAAACTTTCATATATTAAAATATAAATATTTGTTATATTTCAAAAATATAATGTTATATAATGAGCCATAAAAAATGTATAGATATGATGACATCATAATGATGTACTATTTACTTAAGATTACCTACCCAACCTTATTTAAATTTTGAAATACTTAACAAGATAAGATAGTAAACAAAAAGGTTACCACTTAATAGACAAATAAATATCTTCATTCTCCGTGTATGTCAGTAGTTAAATGACATAAGTAATTTTTTTTCAACATAAAAATATATTTGAACTATATAAATCAAAATGCGTTATTCAGCTTTGTTATTATTTATAACATTTGGTAAGTTACATCTTATTAGGGTTCATTTATACAAGTAAATACAAATATAAACATTTATATAAATGATTTAAGTATTTTCTTATTATTTAAGAACTTGCTTTGTTTCTCTATGAGGCTGAAGGAAGAAGAAAAATTTTGAGAGGTAGAAAAACCATAACAAGAACATATAATAGTAAGTATTTTCTTTGATATGATACAAAGAATTAAAAATGTAACTTATTAAATCACATTTCTTAAATTTTAAGAGTGGTATTTCTATTTTATTCAATACTTTTAAATAAGTTCATTTATGTTAAAACTTCTATTAATCATGATGAGATCATCATCTCAACCTCTATCCCAAACTATTTGAGGTTGGTTTTACCTTTTAGATTTGACAGGGTTTTTACTGTTCTGTTTAGACTATTGACCTGACACAATCTCATTATCGTTGAGGGGGCAAGGAGTTTCTCATTATTAAGATTCCTGTTTGGTCACCTATCCAGGAAATAACAGCTAACAGTGCAGCCGATCATGAGCACTAAGGTTATGACTAAATAATCCACTGCTGCCAAACCATGCCACTTATTCATTTTTATAAAAGTTAAAATATTGATTCACCTTGCATATACAATAATTTTTAATCATTTGAAGACCTATAAATTATTTCTCAGAAATTAATGAAACTGGGAAATTTATTTTTTACATAACCCTTTATTTACATTTTTGAAAATTTTTTTATATTTTTAATTGTTAATAAGAAATGTACAGATTAAAATAGATGATCTTTATAATAGTTAAAATAAGATTTAGTAACAATTTTATAAATTTAAATACTGTCAAATAGTCTATTTGCATGTTAATACATTTAGCCATGTACGTAAATAATTTTTTTTTTAAATAATAAACATTAAAAATTGAATTAATGTTTATACTGTAAATGAAAACTATAGAATAGACTATTATGAGTTTTTTGAATGGAAACTAGAAATTTTTATTTTAACCATTAATTGCAGAAACTTTGGGCATACCAGCTTGGTTTTCAGTCACTCTCATTGCATTTGGAATATTAGCAGTCTCTGGTTTAATATTTGCTGCTCTTCAGAAAATTATTATAATTAACAACCAACCCCCACAATCATCATCAGCAAATGTACCATTAACATCATGAACAACATTTATTTTATTTAAGAGATGTATTTAATCAAATAAATAACAAAGTATAATAGTTTTTTAATTGAATACTAAACAAGTTTTTTCATTGTTTTATTAAGGAATAAATTTCTTAGTGTGTGATACTTAATAGACAAAATTATAACAGACGTATTTGTACAGAGAAAAACAAATTCATAGTTAACTTTGCTATATTATATTCATATGTAGTAACTAAAAAGTACAAATAATTTATTCACGGTTTTTGGACTTCTTCATACAAATATTTTAAAGAATTGGCAGTTCCAATGGCAGTGCCAATGCACACAATACCAAACCACAGACGATCTGTAACTCCTTTTTTTAAATATACTGGCACACCATCAGGTTGTTGAAAGTGTTTTTGCCATTTTTTCAATTCTGCTAACCGTGTGTCGTTTTGCAAACAACGACTATTGTGAATACTTCTAATAATCATTTTTGATGTACTTGAAGTAATACGTCCTGACATTTTTATTCTGTAAAATCATAATTGAATGTAATTATTACTATTCTTTACTTAAATTTATTAATTAAAATACATCATGGAATTCATTTTATATGGAGATTTTGAATAATATTAAATTTATTAATAGGAGGTGAAGATTTTTTAAAAGAATTCCTATGCCTCAAACAAAAATTATTATTAATATTTTACGTGAAAAATTGTTATACATTATACTTAAAAGCTTTTAAAATTAATCTATATAAAATAACATATTAATTTTGATTATAAATTAATGAAAAATTGCGTGTGAAACTAAATCCTTAACAAGTTATAATTGATATTTAAAAAAATATAAATCTTCTTCTTTTTCCTCACCTTAATCTCAACTACTTGGGGTCGGCCATTTTAAAAAATATAAATATTCATACATTATATTTTTATTAAATTGTTAAAAAATTAAATTATTACAATATCAACTATAATGTCCTTTATTTAATATTCATATTACAATATATCAGATTTAATAATTCTCAGGATTATCCTTTTAAATTTTACACATTAATTTCATATTTTAATATATAAAAAAATAGCTATGCGAAAGAACTTATATGTCATTTATAAAATATTGTACAAGAACTTCATAAAAAGTAATATATGCGGTAGTGTTTGGAAGGGTATAAGGTGTATAATTACTAACATTATTTTTAATTAATATATATTTTAGAAAAAATAATACTTATGTAGTATTAATACTGAAGGGTACATACTCACAAATTAGTATATACCCAAAAAAAGGGTTTATTTGCGAAAACATTAACTACTAATTATATCGATAATGCTTCAATTTTAAGATGTTTGAAATACGATATTTTTTAATTCAAATACAAATGTGATATTTTTAATTAAATTTTAGTAATTACCTTGAATAATATTCACTTGTACAAAAAATATCTCCGTAAAAATTTGTACTCGCGTAGGAAAAATACTAAACGCTCATACTTAATATAAAAGATCAAGAAGTTTAACCTTGATAAAAAAAAAATCTAATGATAATGATTGTTAAAACATATGATTTTATTTACCTCCCTAATCATGGATTAATGAATATACTGACAAATTGAAGTATAAAATACTTTTATGAAGTTTTAGAAATTTTTTGAATTTTTAAGTCTTTGATTTCAGTTTTAATAAATAATTCCACTGTGCTTTATAAAAAAAAAAATCAAATTCTCTATTAAGATATACTAAATTAAACTTACTTGATAACAATTAGGCTGTGATTAACGATTTAATGAGGGCAGGCAAACTCACCAAAGTCCAAGAGCTTGAAGGAACCTTTACAAATTTTTCTAACCTGTCACGATTAGTGGCATTAATTTTTCTGGTTTCTTCTCATCACCTTTATGTGATGGCGATATTTTCCATAGTGGGAGTGAAATTTCGAGAGTGACGCACGGGATCCCACATAGGTCTTATATTTGGCTCTGTCAATAATTCGCGATCACTTTTAAAAATGTTGCTACCATTTATACAATAAGTCATAATCAAGAGTAACATTACTTCGAATATTCGGTGCCTCGAATGTCTATTGCTGTAATTATAGCAATAAATTCATGGCAATTGTATATTCGTAGTATTGATTAGTTGTAGCAATGCCGCCATCCACGTTTGAAAATGATAGATCTACAGATCTTATCTGTGATAGATCTATAAAGCTATCTTTAACAAAATGTAAACAATTTTCCAAAATTGAGGTTAAAATAAAATAATTTCATCATATATTTTTGTTATCGGAAAAAATATTAATTATATTTAAAATAGTACTGAAAATTATTATGTTCTGAATGTATTAGTATGAATTAATTAACATATTATACGATATAAGTAATTTTTTTGCATATATATATAAACAAATCATTATAAATTTGAATAGTTTTTAACGAGTATAATAATTATGAGTTTTGACACATCATGGGACGTTGATAAATATAAGTCTGAATTTGAGAATGACGATCATTGGCAATTTAGACGACAATTTTTAGTTGAACATAAAGACAAATATCCAGAAGATAGATTAGTGTGTCTAGCTCAAGTATTTTTTAATGTTGAATTCTTGGGATGCAAGTAAGTTAATCGTTTTTATGATTTTCAAATTGTAATAAATCTTGATAAATTAAAGGAAGTAAATATAGTTTTATATTTTTATTCATTAAACTAAGGTACCCAGAAAAAACAATGCTACTTATTGAAAAACTTGCTGAAGGTTTAGCTGATGATCTTAGAGAAAAACGAAAAGGAAAGCTTCAAAGAACATTTGTTGCTGCTTCAGATGCAGCTGAAGCAAGGGCTAAAGGTACACGCTGTGAGTTTATTTTATGATTTTAATGATATATACATAAGGTCACATACTTGGTCAGAAAACTTTTTTGAATGATTGTATCAAATATAAAAGTTATTTTACATTTTATTCATTAAATAAAATATAACTCAGTCCAAGAGAATTAAAGTTTATACTCAAAAATTTTAAATCTTGTTATAAAATTCTAATTTTTTTTTTGTGAAGTATTGCTAATTATGTTGTAAATTAGAAAAATGCCAAGTATATATTATAGAACTAGAAGTATTTATTTTTGAATTTAAATGTACATTTCTCAAAATTCTCGAGTATTGCAGACTCAATTTATTTAATATTATAAATTGCACGATATAGATTAATTAATAATATTTTTAGGTTAGACAATAATATTAAAAAGTATTGCCAAAATATTTAGGAAAGTATTCTGCCCCAGTATGCAAGATGATAATTTTATTATGAACCACTTATTTAATCAAAAAATAAAAATAATATTGGTAATGCTTTTTAAATTTCTTTTAGTTACATGTTTTTATCAATTCATTAGTAATAAAGTAGTTTTATGTTCATTCATTATATCTTAAAAAGGCAACAACTCTATTTTTTCAAATGGTAACATACATAATCAGGGTTGCCACAAATCTGGAAAACTGTATAAGTCAGGATATCTGCGATGCCAGGGGGCAATTTCCCCATGCTCCCGTTACCAGTCCACGCCTAGTGTATTAGATTTCTGTCAACATTTAATTACAGTCATAAAAATGTTTACTATTTTGATAGATGGATTTTAAATTAATTAAACATTAAAGTATTATAATTTAATGACATAGAATAGATCATTTTTTTTTCATTTTTGTTTTAACACTTTATTATTTTTATAGGTATACTTATTAAATTTTCATGCTTTATTTGTAGGAATAAATAATGTTTTTCTATAACTATTAATTATAGTACTCAATTGTATTATCAGGTAAGCGAATTTTTTAATTCTTTTTTTTGCATGCTATCTCTCCTCTTGAAAAATGATTGGAAGTCAAAGAATTTAAAAAATAAAAATTTGTCGCAATCTTGATAAATAACTAGCTTATTTATTATATGTATTAAATTAGAAAATGATGAGTTAATAACAAATTTTGGACCAGTGTTTTAGAAATTATTAACAATTAAAATAATGAATGGTAGTAGACAAATTTTGATAACTTCTGAAATGCTGGTCCAATAGTTGTTATTGACTAGTCATTTTCTTAATTACATTTTCTATTCTATAAGTTAGTTAGATATATGTTTCCATTGAAAAAAAAATAATACCCCTATAATACATAAAATTATTATTATTTAATGAGTAATTGAATGGTTTTTGATTTACAACAAGAAACCTATATTATTAACCTATATAATCTAAAACAGTAATGAAATAAGGAAAAAGTTTGTTGATGAAAATAATATTTAAAATGAGTTGGTATACTCAGTTTTGTGGTTTTTTCGCGTTATAGACCTTTTTGTTATTTACATAATAATTGTTTAAGACTGTCCAGTATTGTTACAATTATTAATATTTTTTGATAATTAAGTGGTTCATGATAAAATAATCTATAAAATGATAAAAGTATATATATATATATATATAATATTTTACAGATAAATATTTAAATAATTTAACAATGTGTTTGTTTTATTTTAGGAAAATGTCAAGTTTCTTCGTCAGCTACCAAACAATCACTAAACAATCTTAATTATACTAAATATTCAATAGTTTCACCATATCATCCTGATTACACATTGCCTAATTTTATTATACTTGATGCTAATTCTCAAAACCCATTTGAAATTCTGAACAGATCTTGTGATTTTTGTCATGTGCCAAAACCAATTATTCTTTTTGATAAAACAGATGCCTTAAATATGTAATATACAAGTATATTATTTCTTATCAATTATATAAATTTTTTTAACTATTACAGTAAAGCAGATCTCTATATTCAACAAAAGCTCATTGATACTGCTTTTGGAAAATCAGAAAAAATTGCTAAAAAAAATGTGTGTGAATCAGCTCTTGAAAAATTAAAATATATATGTTTTACCATTAAAGTACTCGTCTTTATTAAAAATTCAATTTGTAGAATTAAGTTATATTGTGTATTACTGAAATTTTGTATGATTACTTTATAGAAAAAAGATGATGACTCTGAATCTCATATAAGTAAATCTGAATTTATAAAAAATGAAACTGAGGTAAATGTTGAGCCATTATCTTCTGAAATAATCACTAAAAATACTGATGTTGATAAAAAATTATCTGATGATAATATTGGTAATAAATTACTTAAAATGATGGGTTGGAAAGGAGGAGGATTGGGAAAGGAGGGCCAGGGACGCAAAGAGCCTATAGAGTAAGTAAATTACTTTATGAACATTATTTGAGTAGTTATAACTCATTATTTATTTAATTGTTGTTATTTCATGTTTGATTAATTACTTGTATATATTTTATAAATAAGGTGTATAGTTTCAAAACCAGCTAAAACCATTTTTTAACATTTTTCAAGAACAACAAAATAAGATAATGAGGTTAAGATTTAATCCAAAGATTTTATAATATATATGATATTAAAGCTTGAGAGTGTAAACACATTGTGTGTGAATATTTACTCTAACAAAATATTTTTACAAGAGTTATTTAGTTTTATAATTTTTATATAGCTGGTTTTGTTGCCAATTTCATCAGATGGTTGGTTTTGAAGTCAACATTTTTTTTCCTGTATACATGGTTGGTTTTGTAATTGGCTAAGTGATATAGGTAGTTTATATTTTTAGTTTATTACTTTAGTTAAGTATTATATTTTTAACTGCACTCTTTAATCATTATAAAAATTTACTGTTAAATTTAAATACTTAAAAATATCAATCAGTATTAATATCGTTGCGTAAAATGTAATCATTATGAATTATTATTTTACCGCGAAAAATCATATAATTGATTATGGCTTGTTTTGAAATTGACATTGTTAGATAGGTGATTTTGAAACCAACCATATTTTTACAGGACATTTAGTGCAGTGTGACCATTTAGAAAATAACAAAAAAAAATTGTTTTAAAAAATTTACTTAAAGCTCGTTTTGAAACTATACACCTCAAATAAAAGATTTTATTTTTTAATACATGTTCAATGTTTTCATAAGTATGTAGCTAAATATTTGATCAAATAAAAAATAAACATATTTTGTTTCAATGATTGGTCATTTATTTTCTCCAATGCTAATTTAAATCTGTTTCTCATTATATGACTCTCATCATTTTACCCAAAGAAAATAAACCAGTCATTGAATTGTACACTCTTATAAATTGTTGAAGTATTGCATAAAACTATCAACTAAAAACAACTATTTACAGTAATTTTATAAAAAATTTTAATATGTTTTCAGAGTATTATTTTATATTGTTGGAAAATGTCATTATTCACTTCATTTTTCAATTAATTAATATAATTAAGGATTATTTTAACAAAAATATTTAGTTTAATTCAATATATAATATTATATATTGAATTTTATCTTTATGAATTTAGTTAATATATTTTTTTTTTTTAGAGTAATTCAGTTACCAAAACATTTAGGACTTGGTCACAAGTCTAATATTGGTGAAAGTGCTAAACAAAAAATTATGTTTGCTTTACAAAGAGAAGTGAAAAAACATTTGATAGAATTTAAAAAAAGTTCAAAATTAAGACTTTCATTTTCAACTGAATTCACATTAGATGAACGGAAAGCAATACACATGTATACATTTCTTTCCAATTATTTTGTTTTGTGTGTGTACTAAAGTTAATTTTTTTTAGGATATGTTTGAAATTGGGTTTGAAAACGAGAAGTTATGGTCAAGGAGAACAAAGGCATATAGTCATATCTAAAAAACAAACAGCTCAAGAAATTTTCAATGAATTAACAGAATGTGGGAATGAAAATGAATATTTTGTATTGATTCCTCCAATCAATCAAAATTAAAACCTAGAAGATTTAAAGCCAAAAATTCATTAAAAATAAAATAACTATAAAATAATTGTTCGAACTTTAAAAATTTTAAGTTACTTACAGGTTATTTCATTTTTAATTCAAACTTTAACTGTAGTGTAAAGTTTGATTAAACCTTGTTATGTTACTATTATAAAAATGTAGCTGACGAATAAATTTATATACTTGTATTTATGTATAATAGTTAAAATTGATCTAAATATAATTTTTGAGTTTTTTATTTTTTCTTTCTAAAATAATGAAAATAGAAAATAGGAAAGTAAATAAAACATGACAGCTTAATTATTTAATAATATTTAGTAATCATATTATTTTAAAATAACAATTTTTCTTATGAAATTTATCTATTAAAACATTTTATTATATACAAATGTCTATTGATAATTGTTAATATTATTTTGCTATATTTTTAATACAAATAATTTTCAAGAGTAATTTTCATTATTTTGATATTAATTTAGCCCATTCAAACCAACCACCTTTGTAGTTGTAAATCCTTAAACAAAGAAGAAAAATAAATTATTACTCCTAGTTAAATTATTATCAATAGTCTGACATACATAAGCGGTAAATGCATTTTTAGAAATTTTTTAGGAGCTGTAAGTTTGGCTAACTTCCAAGATTTATTTGTTTAATATCTATAAATATCTATTAGTCTTAAAAAAATTAATTAGTTAAAAAGATATCAATTGGCAATGATAGAGGTACTAATGGATAAAAAAGTCATTTAAGATAGTACTTTAAAATTAAATATTTATAAATGGTGTATAACAGCTGTTTTCTACCCTTTGTCTATACTTGAGACTTTTTATAAAAACTGTTACTTGCCTCTTTTGGCTAATTCTTTTGTAATTTTATTATTATTTTTGTATTTTATTATTCTTATGTATTTTGTAATTTGCCTAATTCTTACTTTGTAAACCCTTTTCCTTTTGCTATTGTAGCTGCTTTGTAACTTCTAACACCAGCTGCACAAGAAAATATAATTTCAGTTTCTATTAGATTAGGTTTTGGGACATTGTATTGTTTTTCAAATTCTTCATCTGTAAGTGATAGTGCTGTATCTACTTCTTTTACTGAAAAAAATACACAGATAAGTTTTCAATGTTAATTTTTAACAACTATTTTTAATTTATAGTATAGTAGTACTCACAGGGAATATTAATGCTATTTGGTAAAGTACCAGATGAATTAATTTCTTCTTTTTCACGTACATCTATGATTAATGTTTTTAAATTGATCAAAGATAACAATTTTGAATAATTTATATCCATGATTGGCATTACTCTTGAAGACATTGCCTGTGGAAATACTAGTCTTGCACCTGTTCACAAACAAAAGAAGTTTATTTATCTAGTTACAAAATAGTTGCTATGTAATTTATATCTATCATATTAGCATATGATCACTTACTCTGAAGATGATAATAATTTTTTTTTAATTTATTAGTTGGTGTAGAATAGCAATGAAGGAATTTAAAGCTACCAAAAGAAAATATGTAATTATCAAATCTCGACGTTATAACTCTAATCATTATAACTTACATTTAATTAAATTAATGTTAAAGGATAACAATTTAATATACTTAGATAAATTATGTTTTCTAATTAGCTATGTTTAAGAATTTCGAATGAGAAATGTAATAAATAAGTTTCTACTACAAATTAAATGTTTCAATTAATCTGTGTTTATATAGTGATTAGTGATAAAAAGTAAAACAGTATTACAGATTAAATGAAACATTTTTCAGTTTCATTGAATCTGTGGTAACAGCAATTACAAGTGGGGAATAATTTAAATTTTAGAAATGGATTGAAAATTTTATTTTAATAAATATTTATAGATCTTTAAAATGTTATTTTTTGTTAAAAAATTTAAAAGTAAATAAATCCAAGTTTAATTTGATATATTCTTTTCAAGATTAAAACGGAGGTAAATTGAAAAAAAATAGCAGTATTACTTATTATGTGATACTACTATCAGATAAATCTGACAGTGATAAGTAACAAAACGTAAACAAAATTATCTCTTCATTTTGAATTCATTATTCTTTAATAAAAAATAACTAAATGGGATAAACCTGAAGAATTTTTTTTTTTGGGCCTCTTCATTTATTGTAATGTCAAGCTATAGTGAAAGACGACGAAAAGAACGAGAAAGTATTGGTCTGAAGGGAGTGACGGAAGTGTGGGAAAAATCACCCCAACAACCTTTAAAAGAGTATATCATAATATAATTTTCTTTTTTATTTAACATTATTAATCTTACTATCTTATTTATTAAGAAATTATTAACATTTTTTACTTAAGGTTGGAAGATTGACTCCTAGAAATGTCTAGTAACAAAAAGAGTAGCACTCACGTGTCACCTCTTGCTATTACTTTATATTATTAATAATTTTGAAATAGTGGTTTAAAAGTTGTTATCGACTAGTCAATTTTTTATATAGATCATTATCTAAAAAATAAGCTAGTTAATTATTTGTCTTAAGTGAAGAAGATAAATATTATTTTATGATTAATAAATAAATAGAATATGGAAATAAAAGATATCAATTGAAAATTATAAATATTGTTTTTATTTTTCCAATGGTTAAGTGGTTTATGATATGGGAATCACTCTGTATTGTCTCTGATAAATTTATATTTGTTTAATGTTTGAAGCATCCCAGAAATATAGAAAAAAGTTTGGGAGCCCTAAAGTTTGACTTAAATTAGACCACTGAATAACAACGCGTATTATTAACTCATTTGAAAATTTTCCCATATTTCCTTATAATCAAGCTAAATTTTTTATAATTAACTTCACAAGTTCGAAAAAATTGATAATTAAAAATTTAACTTTAGGATTCAAAAGGTATATTTAATATACCAATAAAATTGTTATACTATTATACTTGTAATAGTAATTCCATTAAAATCAAAGAATTTCAACATTATTTTCATGGTACTCTGAAATGTCTATAAACAAGCCTAGTTAATTTTTCAATAATTAATTATATTATTAGATTTTAAATTTAACTTATGTTCTATAATTTATTTAATAGTTCCGACTCTGAAAATGATCTTATTAATAATCAAAATAAGTTAACAGCTGATTCATATAAAAAAAGAAAGAAGCATAAAGAAAAGTCCAAAGTATGAATAATTTTTTAAACTTCTTTTACATCAATATCTTACATTTTTATAAAATATTGTCTTGTTAGAAATCTAAAAAGTCAAAAAAATTAAAGAAACATAAAGAATTAAATAAAAAGAAAAAGAAAAAGAAAGTATCATCAGGAAGTTCTAGTAGTTCAGATAATGATGCAGAGCGTGATGAATGGATTGAAAAAAAGAGTAAAATAAAATAATATAATGCTTTGCGTAATAAAATAATTGTTATATTACAATTTACAGGTTTTGCAGATTCAAATACAGATGAAATTGTTGGACCATTACCAAAACCTAATGTTACTTTAACTCAAAAAGAGTATGGCCGAGCACTCTTACCTGGTGAAGGAGCTGCTATGGCAGCTTATGTGCAAGATGGTAAACGTATACCACGTCGAGGTGAAATCGGCTTAACATCAGATGAGATTGCTGCTTACGAAGCAGTTGGTTTTGTAATGAGTGGAAGTCGACATAGAAGAATGGAAGCTGTACGTATAAGAAAAGAAAACCAAATTTACTCAGCAGATGAAAAACGAGCGTTAGCCATGTTCAGTAAAGAAGAGAGACAAAAAAGAGAAAATAAAATTCTTACACAGTTTAGAGATATGGTCAAAAGTAAAACTTCTAGTAAATAATTAGTGATAGAAAACTTCATAAATATTTATAATTATATAAACAAAATGACTGAAATAAAATAAACATTATAATTAAAATTGTAGTCACGTTTTTTATAAACTACTTCTTTTTTAAATAATTAATTTAAGTTCAATTAATTGAAAAAAAATGATTTAAACTATAGTAGAAGTATCTAATTTCATAATATAAATCAATTTTATAATTTAAACAGTGATATATATTGTAGAAAATATCTAGGGAGGCTTAAGTCTTACACAAAAATTAAAATATTCTCATGTCCAGTTGACCATTTTATTTATTTATCTTAAAATAAATGTTATGTCAAAATGGTTAAATTTTTAATCAAAATTATATTGGAAAGGATTTAGGGACCTTGTACATAATAAACTGTTATTGGTTATATTATGTTCCATTGCTTTGTTAAAGTTGGTGGCATAAATAAATAATTTAAATCGTAAATTAAATCTATTAAAAGATTATTTGTGATGTTCTTATAAAAAAAAATATTTAATCAATAAATATTATATTTTCTATTTTTGGTAATACAATTGTTGTATTTATTGGTATGCCAGTGAGTCTGTAATTAGATTTGTTTATAATCTTTTTATGGTTAGCTATTGGACATCCTTCAATATTATTGAGCCAATGACCATATAAATGAGATGTAATTAATGGAACACGACGGCTCATTTCCTGAAATCATTTATAGTGCTATAATAAAAAGGAAGGAGGAACCAATAATTTTGTGAGTGATTATAATAAAATTATGTTTTTAACAAAAATAAACTTTTTGGTAGTATTATGTTCAGAATCAATTTTGTACATAATTTAAACAACTTACTTCTTGGTAAATATTATCCAATATTTTTTCTGTACTTCTTTCACTATCTTTCTTTAGTTTTGGGTTGTATAAATTGTTTTTATTAAAAAAACAATCATATTCAAATCTATATTTTGATTGATTTTTTTTGCCATAGTAATATATACGATATTCCTCTGGTATGTTCTTTAAAAAAATTATGTGTAAAAAAAAAAATCATTGTATTTATACAATTTTTACTATTAGTTCTTTGTTAGTTTTTTCTAACTTCTTCCATGTAGTTTCTCGTGCTTTCATATATTGTACTGGATTAAACCAATCTGCCATATTTAAACTTTACTAAATAATAAAATTGTTTCCTCAAAATAAGTGATAGATTAGTAAGACTGCATCTTTAATTATTTTAATACAAATACCACATATGTAATTATATATCTATTTAACAGCAAAAATTGTATTACTGATCAGGCAAATCACTTTGTAATTAAAACCTTAAACTAATCATTAGAAAAAAATAGTACATAGGTGGTCTAGTAATGGGTTATTTTAAATAAATAATAGTATTTTTTTGCAACATTAATTAATCATACATGATTTGATTTCCGATAAAATTCTTCCAATTGCTCAAATTATTAATGAAAATTTATAATATATAGATATTATCTTTTTTTTTTTAATTAAAATTTTTACTTTTTATATTTATTTTGTTGTCATAGTTAAATAATGTATTTTAATCACTGTGGCCATTTTCAATGTATAAATGTATATTAATAAAAATTATATGAATAGAAAATTTTTTTTATTTAATCTTTTCAGATCCAACACTAAAATGCTTTAAATAAGACTTGCAACATTTTTTTTGAGTTTTTCCCAATATCTAGTTTTATAATTTTTTAATTACATTTTAATATTATTTGCATTGTTCCATGACTATTGTATAACTTTTATAACTTGTATAAAAAAGACAAATTTAATGCAAATCTTAATATCTGGAAAGATTAAAAACATGACTATTTCTGGTTAAAGAATAATTGAAAAATATTGAACATTAACTATGGAGATTATAAGTAAAATTTAATTGGTATAATACATTAAAGACTATACATTAAAGTAATATAATATATTTAAAACTCTGAATTTTTAATAAACAACTATTACTATACTCATTTTAATTCAATTGTAGAAAATATCACTTAATGTAAGAAAAAATAATAGTGGCAATAAATTAACATTAAAAAAAAAAAAAAAAACCAGCACAGGGGGGTCGCGGCACAGTTGTGACGTGGTATAGTTGGATCAAGTATAATGATATCTGACAGTGATTAAAATCACTATCAAAAATAAACGCTTCGATGCAAATCTTTAGATAGTGTTTAATTTTAAAAAAATTGGTGTTTTATTCCAAAAGCTACTTGATTTGCTGGTTCCTTAATATCTCGATTAAGATAAAGTATGTCGAATGGAAAAGGGTTTATTAAAAAAAATTATTTATCATAAAAAAATTGTGTGGATCCATAAACTTTTCAATAAGTTATAGCATTATAAAGTTAAATATAATNTATATTTGTTTATTTTTACAAGGTATTTTATTAATCAATTAAAGATGTTAAAACAAAACGATAGTATAACTAATAAGCATATTATCACTGTATATTAAAATAACTGTTAATATGTTTTCTAACAAACTAACAATTAAAAGAAACAATATTATTTTACAAAACTATATTGAATATAAATAATAATACTATTAACTATGAATTTTAAAAGTAATTTAAAGAAATTAAAATTAAAATAATCAGTTATATACACAAAGTTAATATGAAAATTTAAAAATATTTCATTAAATACTCTAACAAATTATATTAACATAAAAATATAAATATTAAAAATACTACTAAGTTTTAGTCTAAATAAACACTCTTAAAAGTAATAATGGAAAAGGAGTACAATATAAACATTTTGTTTTTTAAAAATATTAACCATTTAAAAAGTTAAATAATATTCTAAAAATAATAATTTTTTTTCACAGTTATCAAAGGATCACAGTTATCATGAGATAATGGGTTGTCTCATATTCACTAAAAATAAAGTGATTGGGAATGTAATTTTGAGCTATAATTTTAAATTAATTAAAAATATATTTTTATACATAAAATTTAAAAGGGTAAAACTAATTAATAAAATGGTTTAAAAAAGTAATACTTAGGGTAAATGCAAAATTTCATGTATTAAAAAAAGACTATTAACTCTTTCATGAACCATAGATGCTTTAGAAATCATATCTGGCATAGTTTTCAATGTTTCGTTTACACTTTCTCCAACTGCCTATAATACAAAAAATAAAAGACATACAATTTTTGAAGATTTATTCATTTTCTTTCTACATATAATTTGCATACATACTTGATGATAGAGAGATTTCTGACTTGGAAGAAAGTTCATCGCAACTCTGGCACCAGTACGAATAACCCAGCCATGGTGTTTAGCTAATGTACTATTGTACGCTTCTATAGCAGATGTTGATGTGCTATCAGTAGGTTGAAGGGTAGATATTTTGGTCATAAAGAGAACAATGAAATCTATTAATGTTTTTAAAAATTTCATGAATCTATTTTCTTAAATAGAGGTTAACTCAAAGTTTTACCTAAACCTCGATGTAATCGTAGTAATGTAATACACCCTGAATCATGAGCCAATTTTCCACAAGATCTTTCATGTAGAATCATAGATTTGACAGAACTAAAATTGTTTTCATCTTGAGTTATTAATTCTGTAAGACGACAAAGTTTTTCTTGAATGTCATTAACAACAAAATTAAATATAGTACCAAGCTGAGCACAAAATCTAAGAAAATAAAAAAATGGTGAGATATAAAAATTAAAAAAATTAAAATATACTACAATATTACTTGCATAGTTCTTCATAAGCTAAAATATAGTTTTTTATGTCTATGTCTTCATTATGAATTAAAGCTTCCTGGAAAGCTTTATGGACTGCAGATGGACTAAACATGGCAAACAAAATGCTAATAATAAATTAATAAATTAATTAAAAATTAAAATCAGACTTTCAATTAAAAAAATATTTAACTGGCAAAAAATTAAGTAACAATGGCACACGAATGGGTCTTAACAATAACAGACAGAAGCTCGAAATAAGTGCTACCCGTTTATGGACCATACAATGGCTATTGTGCCAAGTTATTATTTAGGAGTAAACCGTAAACGTAGTAATGCTTATGGATAAAAGATAAGTAGGCAGTAGTGGAAACACAGCTGACTAAAAACGCACAGCTGTATAACATGCAGTTATTATCGTTCAGACTATGTTATGCGGTCGCTACATATTACCAACCTTGAAATTTTAAAAAACTGTGAATCAATGGTACTAATAATTTAGTGGTACATGCATTTAGCTAAAATTGATAGTTATTAATAATTAACTCGTTCAATTCCTTTAACTTATACTTTAAAAAAGTCTCCACTTGTTATTACAATTTTTAGTGTTTATAAATTTATAAGATTATAAATTGATTTTCATATAACATTTTAGTTCAATACTACCAATTATAAATGTTCGTAGGCGAAATTTGAACAATATAATGGAAAAGCTAAGCCCTCTAATTTAGAGTGAGTCCGGCACACATACCATGAGCTTTGCACGTAGGAGTGGCGTAGTTAGGATTTGGTTTTTGGGGGATACACATAAAACAACATTTTATTACTCCTACAAAAAAAAAAAAATCATATTTTCACAATGGAATCATTTTTACTGGGGGTATATCTCCCACTTCGGACCACTCCCTCCTGGCACAGGGGTTCTGTAATTATGATTTGTCCTAAGCCCCGCTAAACGTAGTGTCGACACTGGTTTGATTATTACTACAAGTTTTAATTTTATAAACATTATACATAATTTATAGCATATACATATAAATACAGTTTATATGTCTATGATCTACTAGGCGTTTGATTTACTGTGCCTCATGCAATATCTTTAAAATTAATTTAAAATTAAACATTATAATTTTTTATTTTCAGAAGTTTAGTCCTAGCCTTCTCGCATCCCTTTAAAATGGTATCAACTTAAGTTTTTTTAATAGAAACATATATGTTTAATTAGCTTAAAAATGACTAATCAATAACATATTATGAACCAATACTTTAAAAGATATAAGTAATTTTATACTAGAGAGGAGTAGTTCAGTTCATAAATATCCAGAAATAAAAATAAACAGACCAAATGTAATTTGATGTAATATTACAATACGAAAACATTACTGCACCTGCAGGTTAGATTAAGGGGAGAGCTAGGGAAAGCGGTGCCCCGGGATCAATTTGAATTATAATAGCCTGCCAAGATAACTTCAATAAAAATGACCTTTTGATAAAAGTGATATATTTTTGTGATGGAGTTTTTAATCTAATGCTGCATATGCGGTAGATTGCATTATTTTTAGATTAATTTTGTTAAAAAATATTTTAATAATAAGAAGTTATAATATAATTATATGATCGATCAAGTACAATAGCAGTCTATGCTACAAAACAATAGATGGGAGTAATACTGTTTTTAATCTATTTTTGAAAAGGAAAAAAATATCATAACAAACTTGTATAAGTTATAAATTAGTACAAACATTTTTTCTGTTATTAATCACAATGGATTTTCAACACGTGAAGTCGTACATTAAATAAATAAATTTTATATTTATACAGGTTGCTTAGTTAGTCATATTAAAGAGGCGTGGGAATTTTGTGACACTTTCTTGAATATTTTATGACAATTATTACTTTATCTATCTTATATTACTTATTTTTAAATGTAGGAACAGTTTATCAAAAGTCAAACACAACATCGTTTTGTTCCAAAATTATTTGTTAAACAGTAATTTATTGTCTTGAAAAATAATGTCAATAGTTATTGTAATTTATAATATATTGCATGATTAAATTCAAATGCTGTTTTACTTTTAAAAAACAAAGAATTGTGTATAAAAATATTATTGCTAGCTCGTTAGTATATTATTAATATGGTAATGTATTAGTTAGCCAAAATTAGTGAATTTGACTTTAGTTGTGTTCGAATCTTGGCGTAAATTTATAAAAAATTTAAAGGGGTTAAATAGATTTTTCACTCAATTAAATTTTTTTATTTTGTATAAAAATACATACAATTTTTTTAAAAATTATCCAATTCGGTGGCCATACTTCCGATTTTCACTAAAGGAAGAATTATTATATGTAAAAAAAATATCTTTTAATTTATTGGTCTGTATTTCACTTGAGTTCACTAAACAATTAATAAATCTTGTTTAACTATATAAAAAATACATGTTTTATAAATATTTTACTGATAAAATTTTATAAAAAAATACAAAATACGATTTTTTTTAATTAAATATTTCTTGTTGAATTTATTATGCTAAATATTTATACGTATTAGATTTTATTCCTATTTGGTAACAATAAAAACGAGAATAAAATCTAATAAATGTACGCTCAGTGTACATTTACGAAATTTGTTTTTATTTTTTGGATATTTTATTTAAATAATACTTGCTAAATTTATGCAATTAATATTATTTTATTTAAAATAATTTTTGTTTGTATTTTCATGTACAAGAATTGTTAAAAATAATTATTAATGATTTCTATTTAAAACAAAAAATAGTTTGTGGGAATGGAATATTTTATAATATTTGTATGCGTAAGCATAGAACACCTTATCATTTATTATAACATAATTATCAATTGACCTTATGCTGGACTGATAAATATAATTATCATGTTATTGAATTAATAATGTTAACTTTTTTTCAGTCTCTTTGAAAATCAAAATTTTTTAATAAAATGGTTTAATAAATTTGTTACACTTGTCATTTGTTGGATGTTTTACATAAATTGAAATATTTTATTTGGCGTTAACAGAATTACTCAACAAGGCATATATTTATTATAGTATTTTTCACTTGTAAATAGTTTTTATTTAAAGTGCAATTAAGCATTTTGACGACAATGAACAATTGTTTGATTAAAAAAATTATTGTAATCAATATGTTTTTATAACATCACTACTCTATAAACAATAAAAGGTAGAAGTCGAAAATTAACTAAACTCTTGAAAAAAATGTTTGACTTTTCAATACCTTAAGTCGAAACTATTTTACTTGTATTTAAAATTAACGCGTATATTAAAAATATCATACTAGAAAAATACCATATACGGAAATTTTTGGATTATTTCTTACAGTGTATTTATTTAAAAAAAGAAGGAATTAGACAATTTCACCATAAAATATCTTTGATCTGAACTATCATCCAACACATTCATCATTATTTCACTCTAGTTAAATTACGGGTTATAGTTACTTTTTATTCATTTCAAACATTTGTTTTTTTTTTCAAATTCAGCTCTTATCTGTATAAATGTAAATGTATGTTTGCTAAGTTAAAAGTGATGACACTTTTGGGTGGCTTCTTTTATCAAGTATTCCATATTATAATTATTTTAGCTAATACTCTTATTGTACCTATAGGGAACAGATTGTGTATATATTAATAAAGGAAAAAAAATAAAAATGTTTGTTAAGTGTTTCAACTGTATCTATTGTTTGATATTAACAAATTTTGTTTTATTTTAACTCAAGTAATCTTGATGTTAAAATTATACTTTCATCATTATAAATAATATTTTTCTACTCAATAATTTAATTATAACTAATAAATAATTAATGTATTAATAAAAAAGAAAATATTTTGGGTTTATTGACAATCCAAGGCAATAATTAGAACGACAAGAAAACTCTTTGTCATGCTGTAAAAATAATAATAGTAACAGTCGAAACAAGCGCAGTTAATGATCCAAGTGAGTTTTTGTTCTCTGGATACGACGTTGTATAATGATTAAAAAAAGTTGCCCGAACGTAGTTTTGGCTTTTTTAAAAGCACACTATTGTATTCGCTTTAATAAATCACTTATTTCGAAAAAAATTTGAACAAATATCTTTAGCCGTAAACTAGATTTGTACTATAATTTAATGGGGTGTTAATATAGACCTTGATGACTTATGTATGTTTCTATGTAATATTTGTTCATTACATTCGTTTTATTGCACCGGAATAATCATATTACATAAAAAATGATGACTGAACATTTATCAGACCTTAATAGTATCTAACTTAATAGGAATTATATTAACTCACCAACGTGAATTTCAATGTTTTATCATAAATACTGATTGTTTAATAGAAAAAAATCGGATTAAATAAAAAGACAAGATTTGTTGAGTTTTGTTTTTAATGATTTTTTAATAGCATAAAATGTGAGTATATAGTATTTAAGGCTTTTTAGTTTATTTTAAAATTTTTAACAAGACTATACATTATGTTTGGTCGTCGAGTAAATATTAAGACTGTCTATGCCCCAGAAAAGATAACTCGCCCTTTTAAAACTGATTTACAATCATTTTACGAAAAGTTTGTTATCAAAAATATAAAATTTAAATTAGAGTCGACAATTATGATACACAAAAATAAAAACCGTTTTGAACTAATTTAATTTAAAATAAATTTCACAATAAAAAATAAAAACACAATTCGATCAAATTAATTTTTACACACTGTATGATAAATGTAATTGACCTGTATCCTCCACTTCGTTAAGCCGTGTATCAAAATTGCATAACCTTTACGCCGTTTTATACGATTTAAAACAATTGCGGATGTGTCAAATAAGTTTTGATTTTAACTGTATTATTTCAAAAAATTAAGCCAATCAATGGAGACGATTGGCTTAATTGGATGGAGAACTAATTAGTTTCCTGACCGTCGAATTTGAACCGAGTTTTAAGTAATTGATTGATGATGCTGATTGATTAAGTTAAGTCACCCATGAAATGTACTTAGAAATAAACCGTTTAAAATAAGCGTGTCATCGTTCAACTTTAGTTACCATATGGCTACAGAAAACCGCTCATCTATGCCATTTCCAAAATTAGTCAATATTATGTAGCTATTATATAAGTTATGGATTTTCAATAAATTTCAGATTAATACGCAACACCACGTGCTTTTTTCTTGCAGTTATTCAAAATTATTTTTACGCTCTATTTACATTTAGTTTCCGCAATGCTTTAAATTCGAATAAGTTATTATAATGATTTTACGAAAAAACTTAGATACACCTCTAGGCAGCTCTATAGAAAATAACAAGAGTGAATATCAAGAGTTTTTATTTATCTTATGTATATATTTTTTCGTTTGAAGCTTATTTGTCAGTTATAACTTTATTTTTCTTCAATGCGAACTGTTCTTTTTTTGAGGATATCATTTCAATATCTGCACGCGTTATATAATAATCGATTTTTGTTTACGGCTCTTGTTTTTCTGTGCTTAAAAATTTAATAAGAATTTGAGTTGTTATTAGATTGACATTTCCTAGTTAAAACTTAACATTAAAAGTTTAGTACAAATAAAATTAAAAGCGCACGTATTAGAAGATAAAGCATTACAAGACAGAACTAAAATTTTCATAAATATAAAGGCTTATAATTTCCAATTGTTAAATAGCTCTAGTACTTCTACTACTATCATTACTCATATTTGGTATACTCTTAATTATTCTAGTTTTTGATAAGATTACTAATATATAGTTAAGTATTTAACTGAAAATATAAATATGATTATCAAATTTAAGTATAATTTTACTTCACGTTGGACAATAAATTAACATGTTATAATTTTCAACTGTTAATGACTTGGGTTATTGATTTGAGTTTTTCTTTAGTCATTTATATTTAACAAACCATAAAAAACAGACCGTAACTGAAGCGATTAGTTTTCCAACAAAGTGATTTGGTTAAGACGGCATTTAACAGCGAGTGATAGTATCAACCCTACACTTATTGCTCTTTTTATCATTTATAATTTTTAAAATGTTAAAAATCATTCTTCAATGACAAACAAATAAATGCGATTGAGCTTCTAATAGTTCTAATAGTACGAAGAAAAAAAAATTATATTTAATACTATTTAACTGTCATTGTTATGTTGAAAAACAACGGAGAAAAACTTGGAAAGAATCTCGTTCATTTAAATTTACGCCCAGTGAATTTTCGAACTTTAGATTTATCTTAGAATTATCTTTTATGTTAAGAACTATCTGTTTATTTACAATTTTTCTAGGAGACGCTAAACATTTACTCTTTTATTCTGTTTCATCATGAGTTTTAATTAAATTACCATAAAATAAAAATAAAAAAAGTGTTCAGGACTTATTTTAAAGCAATTTTGAAGATATTTCACGGGGTTTTATGGACTTTCGATGAAATAGTTGCAAAAAAAATAAACATGTCAAAATTGAGAGTTTTATTTATTTTTCAGTATTTTGTCTAGCAATGTGCAGTTTGAATAAATTTAACTAGTCTTTCTTGAAACTAAAATTAAATTCTAGAGTAATCATTTATTTCATTGATAAGTAAAATATTCATAATTTAAGTTGATGTAATATTAGAAAATGGCAACTTGTTATGTGAATTGTTTTTTTTTTTACTTTCGCGTGACTGATTGTTGTATTGCCGTGGCATTGTAATTATAATCTTATATTTGTTGTTTATTTCATTTTTACTAAGTTAAATTGTTATAACACTTTTGTTTAAACAGTAGTTAAATTTGATTTTTAATTACTTCCTTTCAACGAAAATTCACAAAAATTTTTTCGAAAAAGTCCATAATATACGAAATCACAATTAATACTATTATTCTCTCTCACTTTACTAATACTGTTGCAAAGATATTTGATTTTGATCGAATTGAGGAAACGGTTTTGTTGCAGTATTTCTTCTTAAATACTATTAATTAAACATATACCGAATGAGCTGTTTACTTTGTGTACTAACTTTCAAAATAAATATCATTAGGCGCCTTTTACCTTTTTAATAAAAGTTCAAAGTGTTTTAACAATTGAAGACGAATAAGTGGAAGTTTATTTCTATTTGAAGTGCATAAAATGATTTGCATACTTTAATTAATCACAAAATATTAATTAAATATATTAGAATTAGAATTTCCAAATCATAAGTCATAAGTTTTTCATTTCACTTTAATGTAGTGGCTTCCTAAATTAATTATTTTGTTAATGAAATTCTCGTATATAATTATAACTAAGATATTATTTTCGGTGAAAACGATCTGAAATTACTATACGCTTTAAGTTGCGTGTGCACTTGGATTCCAAATAATATGGAATACATATAATATTGTTTTAATATTTAAAAATTCAAAATTAAAAAGGGTGTCACAGACATATTTGACAATGCTCGTAACTTTTGACATAATTATCATTTTTTGAAAGTTGTTTAAAAAATATATATTACCCTTTTAAACTACGTTTAGTATATATTCTATTATTTAACACTAATACCTATTTAAAATAACCACTTTTTAGTATTTTTCTTAAGAACATTGTTGATGGTTCGATAACAGTTTTAGAACAAGTACTTAATGAGTTACAAGCATTTTAATACATAGAGTTAGTATGGAACTTGGGCAAAGTATATGTATACTATTATAAACTGCACTCACACTCATTACATACACACTTTTTGTGTTAAAATTTTGTAGCTCAACAAGTACTTGTCCTACAGTTGTTAAATTATTTTGTAAGAATAAAGCTAAAAATGACTTGAAATTTTGTAGAAAAAAAAATTACTTTTTTTCTTACTGGTGATATATATATATATAATTTTTATCTACAATAGAGACAGTCATAGTGACTGTTGATATTAATATTTAACTTTAAATTTATAAGCTTAAAGTGTTTATATTTAATTTAGACTTGAAATATTTCAAATTATTGAAATATTTAATGAAAAGTTTTAGTTAAATATTTCAATTTCTTTTGTTTCAGGAAATTTAAAATAACATAAATAACATCACTTTGAGATCCTGTTGAAAAATCCGGTTACAGGAACTCTGAAGTAATTCAGTAAACAAAACTTTAATGTTTCATCGTTCCTTTTTATAGCAAAAACAAACAACACATATTGGTGTGTTATTTATAAGTAAATAATGTCTAATAAAGTTGCCCAGCTCAGATTATTTATAATTATACGATGTTTGATGACTATGCTTAAGTATTGTAATAAATTTTCTAATTTTAGACACACAATTTTTATCATCGCCGAAAAATCGAGTCGAGCCTGCCGCCAATAATTAAAATTAAAGTAAGGAAAAATTTGGTAAATTCTGTTTCGAAAAGTGTTATGTAAGTAAAAATAGAAATGGATTTTATATAATTAAAGTACTTTTCAAATATTATTTAACAATTTAAAAAATACACGGCATTTTATTACTAATATGCATTCATAAAAACTGTAATAGAGGAAAAACCCAATATAAACAATAATATAAATTCATGCTCAACATTTTTGCCATCGGTGCTAATCGGGACCCATCGTAGTTCACGGATGAAGCCGGCGTTGAGGCGCTGCCAGCGATGTGCCGACAGAGAAGTAGTACCGCGCGACGCCAACACACGCTCGATACACGGCGCGCTACACACATACTTTTTTTAGCCGGTCGCGTTATTCACGTTGTGTTCCGTTGTGTGTCCACAACGAGAGATACTTCTCGAGCGGCTTCCGCTTTAGGCGCCGCACACAGCCGTCGTCACTGCCGCTGACCGCGACGACACCGTCGATCTTAAATCGCTTGCCTTCCGGCCGCGAGTGTGTTATGCTGGTGGCCAGTGCCGTCGGCTGCTTGCACACGCGTCCCGCCGCTCCAGCGTGGCCAGAAACGTGACTGTATGGTGGGCTCGCCCGGTGGGTAACCCTGCCTGTTACGGCATGCCAATACGCCGAGGACATGTCACCCAGCGCACCACTCTTATAGAGACCATCATCAGGAAATTTGACACACACGGTGAGCATTAGAAAAACCGTCAGAGTTATGGCCGCGCTTAATATTAAAAAACTAGGCTCATCAATTTTGACGACAAAAATTCTCAGATACCCATTTCGTTCGTATTTTCCCCGGAATTGACTTCAGCTATTATTGATGCAATTTAACTTTAAAGAGGAATTGTTGGTCTTGTCGTGAACATAGTTTTTTTTCCAATCGAATATGAAACGCAATAATTGAAAGGCTTACGAGAAGTATTCTCTGGTTGTTGTGCAATATTAGTGTAAGTGTAAAAGATGGTGAGAATTTTAACGGCCGTTCAATCGTTGTGGTTCTTCGTGTAAAATATCTCATAGAATGTGGTCGTTAATTGCACTACTCATTAGTTATTATACTGACATAATTCAAATAAGCCTTTTTTTTTTAATAATGAAATTAATTGCCTATAATTAATGAGGCTGCAATTGTATAATACAATAACCATGTTCTTTTTGTGGTTGAATGATTTGTTAAATGATAAATTATTTTTGATGGTATTACATAAATTCAAATGATAACTGAAATTCAATGAGAAAAATTAAATTACGCGAAATTAAACATTGTGTTCCTATTAAAAACAAATAAACTAGTCTAATTGAGTTCATGTCTTCCTCCTAACCATCGTCTCATTACTTCCTGAACACATAATAACCTAAAAATAGACATTTCTTAAAAATATCTATGGTGAGTTATTGTGTGATAATACTGAATTCCCGTATTCTTCGTAGTTTATAAAAATAATATATTTTTTATCAGTATCTTTCGGTACTAAATCATTTATGTGCCGTAACATCTTTTTTAATATTTTTCGACTTGTCTTGTTTGAAATTCGCGTGGAATTTTTGAGCATCCGTTTAGTTTTAACATCAAACCATGTAATTTAAATGTTGACTTTAAATATTTTGTCAAAGACCCAATGAAATGGAAATGGAAATTCAAATGTCAAAGCTTCGATTTATAGTCTTAAAAAATATGTATACATATATTTGTTTAACATGTCATCCAATTGAAAGTTTTAAATGTCTATGTTGTTATTGAAAGTACTATTAAAATAGTACTTTCGACAAGTATACATATTCGCCAAGTACAATAATCGTATTTGATGAATATTAAATTTTATTTACTTTAGCGATTTACAAGTCTGAACAATAAGTACACACGCTAAGAGCCCAGTTGATTATGATAGGCATGAAAGAAGACAGTTATTCAAGACATAGCTTTTGGTTATAAAAAAGATTAACTGTATGATTAATATGAAATTATTGAACACAAGTACCAGTCTATAACAATCATTATTCGCTACTTTTATTCATAGTCTCAACGCACAAGTTACTTATTTACACTTTTTGTTTTGCATTCGTCTAATTATACACGTTTTAAATGAATGCAGATAGTTTAAACTTAAATTAAAAATGTTGAACTTTACTGAAAAGTTTGTAAGGAAATCGAAAGAAAATTAAACATTTAAGAGTTAGATTTAGAAACAGTTTTTTTAACCGTAATAAGATAATAATGAAACATTCATTGAGCGACATGGTGTGAAATCCGTTTGATCATTTATATTTAATTTTCGCCAGAACAGTCGCACCGTTTTAATGTATTCGGAGTGTTCATCGTCATCGCTTTCGGATGTTTGCACCGTTTTGCTATTAAATATGCACAACTTTGAAGAGAAACGTTATTTGAAAACTAGGTTTGTATCCGTCAGCTTTGAAGTGAATGATATGTCTAAGTTACTTTACATTTGCTATAAGAACAATTTAGATTCCATCAATCGGAGTTTTAGTGCATCTGAGTTTTTATCCAGTAAAACAGTTTTTGAATAATATGATAAATCGTTTCTTACTTTTGTTAAGTTCATCGTATTTCATATATTATTCGCTAATAATAGTTAAGACAAAGATTTACCGTTATAGATCATGAATTCATAGTAGATCTATGAATTAGTCATTGCTGTATATCAGTAGACTTTATTTTGTATTAAAAAAAAAATAATAAAGTCGATTTTAAAGTTATTTTTTGTAAATCGGTTTCTTGGTAAACATGTTTTTTTTACTTTATATTTTTTGAAATAATACTTCCAGAAAAAATGTAACTCGAAAAGAAAAGAAATATTTTGGCATATTTGTTATGTGGAACGAAACAAAAAATAAAAACTACATAAAATATATTAGTTAAATTATTTGAGTTCATTGGAAAAACGAAGAAACTAAATTTTGCAATGGTAAGGACAACTTAGGTTCTGTCGAGTGTGTAGTTTTTTTATGGATAGTGTTTTAGAGTATACTTTCTATTTTGAAAATTGGCAAATCTTGTTTAGCACGTTCAAGACGGTACTTGGCCGTTGTTTATGAATCTCAACAACGACTAGACCTACTCTCAACAACGACTAGACCTACTCTCAAGAATAGGTCACATTGGGGTATGGGATAAAGACAAAAGGAATTCGATATAGTGAAATCGTAGCAAGCTTTTTATTATTGAATTTCAAATATAAAATAAAACCAATGTTGTTCCAGTACAACATAAAATTGATGGAAAAATTGTATTCTTATCAGTAGATTATAAACATTTAGAAAAGTACGGAAAATTGAATCATATAATGAAAATAAAAGTTTTGCATAATACTAATGTAATAAAAATACAATAACGAATGCTCAAAACAGTCGATGAACAGGTTATTGATTATTATCCGCAGTTTAAGGTTAACTTGGAGTTGTTTCATCACATTTCACGGTGTTACTGGTCGTCAAAACTGCCTATAAATAGCTTTCTAATGTTATTTTACAGTTCGACGCAGGAATTTAAATTCTGCTGATGGAGTATTTGTGGTAATTCTTAGTCATGATAATTTGCAAAATGTACTGTATAATTTCGCCATTTATTGAATGAGATTTGTTTTTTGCTTAATATAAGTGATTTTGCGCTTATTTACATAACTCCCTCTTTCCGTAAACCTTGGGTTGATATGTTAGGTGTGAGCTGATGAATTTCTGTTATATTAATAAAATTAGGCGATAAATTGCGTTAAAATCGATAAATGAATTTTTCTACCTAGTACATCATAGTATACTTTGCATTATATTATGCATTTATGAATAACTTAAAGAGTATAACCTTATAACTGTGGAGAGTAGGTAATACTGTAAAATAAATAAATAGGATTCATTTAAATTTAATGACTTGTAAATAGCGAACAATCTATAATTTAGGTGTTTATAAGTATAATATCGAGAAAGTGTCCTACTCAGGTTTTTATTGTTGTCGTTTTGACATTTCTATCATAGAAGTTGATCTGTTTCTACATCTCGGTACTAAGTATTAGGAGGGAATTTGACCACCATAGTACTCATTCTAGTGCATCCGTGATAAATGTTAGTAATTTTTTCTTCTGCTGGTGTTTGTTCGTCATTATTGATTTTTCCTGAAAATTTACGTGGTTAAATATCACGACAGTTTCAAACTTAAAGATGAGTTATTGTATTTTACATCATTATCGCTTTAATGAAATATAGCTCTATTTTTAATCCTGCCATTTATAATAACAATATTTATTGAAATTTTTGAAATTTTTGAAGTGGAATTAACGTCATTATTTAATGTACAGTGTTGCGGATGAATCGTTTAAGAATTAACAGTATTGCACTTGTGTGATCAGTGCGGTCGTAACTTAAATTGAAACTTCCTAAAAAGGTTCCATTGAGTGAACTCGAATGCTTTTTTCTTTGTCTGTGAATGTTGGAGCGTCACTTAAGAAGTAATAATAAATCATTCACACAAGGTTAAACTGTCCGAACTTGTCACTTGTTGAAAGAAATTCGCATTATCAAAATATTAAAGTTTGGAAGTTTCGAAATTCTGCTTGATACATGAACTTTTTGTTATTCATTCAACACCTTTATTCGTTAATTTTTCCGGTCGTCGTCCGCTTTAAAATGTTTAAATCATTGTTTTTTTTTATTTATTTAAAAAAAAACAATGACTCTTATATTTTTAATACCCGTTGGATTATTAATATGTGTGTGACAACACTTTAGGAAAACATAAAAAGTGTTTAAATCGTCAAAAACATTTCGAGCTCTCCGTAAATTGGTTTAGAGTAACATAATAAATGGTGGACTAAACATTATATATACTCCATGAGATCTCACCAACCAACTGCAACCTTGAAAGTGACAATCTAATAAAAATACCCATTATATTGATTGGACTCGTGCCCGAAACGTCGGTCATATTCCATTATTGTTTCCCATAAGCAGCGGTGGTGTATACGTGATACGCTTCGAGGTGAGTCTCGTGGGCTTGAATGGTGTTTGTGTGCGTGTGAGCTTTGTAAAGGGTCAAAATACATTTTCCTCTTTGCAATAAAGGTCATTGAATAACGGAGAACGCACTGTAATAAACGTTAAGAAAAGAAATTCCGAAAGACGTACTACTTTGAATTAAGTTCCAGTGGGTCACACTTGGTATGTGATAGTGACCGACGACAGGCGGATTCCACAAAAATAGTTTTTTAGGGACAAATTAGGTGCGCTCAGAATAAAACGTGGTTGCTTCGTTGCGTTGGACGCGTAACATACTTATGCTGAGTACTTAAACGGTAAATTATTGAAGTTCTTATCTTTTTTATTAAAGCCAAACGCGTTATTTTTTTATACGTAGGGAAACATAGTGGAATAGTTCGCACTCGAGAAAAAACTGATATTAGTAAGCTGTTATTTATTCGTACAGTCTCTTAACATAAATTTAGATACTAACTTCCTAGTAATCATCCGTCATACTTACAGATATTTATTTTGAAGTACTTTTTTAAAAAAGAAACTATCCATTATTTAGGATATTTACAAATGTTTTGAGTTTTGTGCTGACGTTCGAATTCATTGCAAAATAGATCGTCGGAGCGACAGTTTGTTGCTGTAACTATAATGTCTCTTTGGCTTGTTTGTGTTGTTTTTGTGTAGTTACAACGTCGGATTTGTAAC